AATATATAAAAATAAAATTAGAAAAAGAATAAGGTAAAAAAAAAGAAGATAACTTGTACATTAAAAAAAAGTACACAATTTTTATTGGAAAGGGAAAAAGTAATTGTCATATTTATCACTTCATTCATTAATGTCGTTTGCATTTGTTATCTTAGTTCTAATTTTTTTTAAAATTTAATCCTACCTAATTAACTAAAAAATGGGCCCCCCAATTTATTGGGGCCTAAGGCCAAAAACTTTTTTTTATACCTTACCAGCCGTCCCTGAGTAAGCCTCTTGCACAAGTTGATAGTGATGTCAAAATTAAGGGCATAGGGCCATGTTTACCCTTTACAGCTCAACTGAAAAGTGCATCAAATCAGGAAATATATCCACTACTTATATATAAGTGTGGATAACTACACAGGTGGCGGTCGAAATGCGTGCTCACCTGTGTGGTTTCACACTTACAGATACATTTCTCTATTTTATTTTTTCGTTTTAATTTATTTGTTTTATTTTTTAATTTTCTTATATATCTAAAAATTGTGTTAAAAAATATTATAAATCATACTAATTGACAACTTAAAATTCATATAAAAAATTGATTGCTTATAAAAAAAATCGATTGATTCATAAAATTAATCTATCTATGTCACATAAAATGGGACAGAGTTTATACGAACATCTTGTAAGTCAACAACTTATCCAAATCTCTGTTTCAGTTCATTATCAAGCCGTTCAAATGCTATTGGAGTTTCTCCACAACTCCTAGCACATGAATCCCTCACCGTTAGCCTCGAAACAGCCCAATCAACATCCGCTATGATGTTGAAATTGGCATACAGTCAAGGCATGGCGCCTAGAGAGGTAGGCGCCATGCGTGACTGTGTGGAGGAATTAAGTGACGCAGTTAGTGGAATTAAAAAATCTTTAGGGGAAATGAAGGAATTGAGGGGAAAAGATTTTGATCTGAAAATGAATGATATTCAAACATGGGTGAGCGCCGCCTTGACCGACGAGCAATGCTTTGGCTTTAATCAACAGTCTTGCTGCCCTTCACGGCTAAAGTATAATTAATTAAAACGACAATTTAGTATATATATATATATATATATATTGTATGTTGTTAATTAATCTTCATTTAGAAAAAAGTGTAGTTAATTCATGCTTAGTTGATTGCTGTAATGTAATAGATAAGATGTTTGTTTGTGATGAATTTCTTAAATGAAAATGTTCCATATGCATTTGTTGAAAAGTTACTACTTCAATTTACTAAATACACGGTGCATCAAGTGTACTTGGTAGTAATCCTCTCTATATTTTGCTTATTTCTAAAATAAATTTTCATTTTTAGTTGTAATTTTTTTAAAAAAATTATAATGGATGAGGGATAGATATGATGTGGCAGACACAAGTTGTATGAGGCTCTTATTAGAATTTGCCAAGTGAATTATTGGGTTCCATTTTCAGAAAAATGGGCAAAATCCATTCCCCTCTCTTCCTTTTTAACTTTTTCTCTTTGATTGAAATCTTCAAATTTTCAACATCTCTTTTTTTTATTTTTTAAAATAATTTTATTTATAAAAATGTGAAATTTAGTCTAATTCATCGCACTTTTAACATTTGATATTATTTTTCTTTCATGTATTGATTATTTTACATTACCAAAAATAATTATTAAAAATTATTTGTCAATTAACAAATTAAATTATTATTTTTATTTTTATTTTTTATTTTCATTACACTAATAATTAATTATTCTTAAAAATATAAACAAAATTTGTAAAATTGCAAAAATAATTCTCAAGGAGTAAATTAATAAAGTATCTTTTTTATTTATAATTTCATAAAGAATCTGTAAAAAATAAAATAACTAATACGAAAAACGAAAGGAGTATAAATTATTATTTTTTTCTCTTTCAATAATTTCATATAAACTTAAATTCATCAAATATTCACAAGAAAATATAATGGAAAGAGCATCAATAATTTTGAAAAATAATTTCATAAGTTTTTGTACTATCTTAATGTAGCCCAAAATCGTACTATCTTAATGTAACCTAAAATCGATTTTTTTTCATAAACACTTAAATATATACATACTCTTCCGTCAATTTATATGATATCTTTTTATTCTTGAAATCAAGCAATGTGAAATTTAATTAATATTTTAAAATATATTTTTATTTTTTATATTAACATAAGAACTACAACTTATAATGTTTGTTCATAAATAATCCTTCCCACTAAGTTGCAATTCAACCAAAAATACTATAAGTTGCAATTCTTATCATGTTTGCTTATGAAAAAAAATACATCTTATAGCTTGAATTTCAAGAAAAAAATAATCGAATAAAATGATGGAGAGAGTAAAATGAAATTTTTTTT